AGAGCGGTGAAGGAGAAGAAGGAGAGGGCGAGAACGCAAGGGAGGAGGTAGGTAGGGGTACGAGGAGAGCTTTTGTGAGGGAGACGAATACGGAGACGTAGACCCATTTCTTTCCTGCCCTTTCTTCTCTTCTCTTCTTCTCCACCATTTCTTTTTCACTTTCCCTTTTGTTTTCTCTCCCCTTTTTCCCAGATTGCTCTTCTTTTATTGGACATTTTCATTTCCATTCCCGTGCATCACGGAGCTTTATTATAATAATACAATTTTTCTTGCAGAACAGGGAGATTAATGTCAAAACTTTAATTCAATTTCTAATTAAATACTAAACTTTCTTATATCTAAAAAAGTAATAAAATTTATTATCAAAATAATACTGAAGTATTCGATTTTGTCATAAGATTCCGTATTAACGGTAACGGGCCGTTAAAATAATATAAAAATTTAACATAGATATATATATCCACACATGTATATACATATATATGACATATATAATTCATATATACATACATATACACGTATATAATTATAGGTGCATCTATATATATTTGAACATATATATATAAGTATAAGTATATATTTATGTAATTTTTTATTTTATATTATTTTAATAGATTTTACTATTATTTTAATAGATTTTATTATTATGTTATTATATTTTTAATATTTTTTTATCATTTTATTTTTAACATATTTTATTTATTTTATATGATATCATTGATATGGTGCAGTGACATATCGGGTTATAGCCACATCAGAAAATTTAACAATGTCCGTTTCTAATATGATAAAATTTGAATAATTCAAAATTTTTTATATTGTTTTTATAATAATTCATATTATTTTTTGAAAATTAGAAAGTTTAGTTTTTAATATGGAAATTGAAGTAAGGTTTCGTACTTAATATGCTAATTTTTCATTTTTTAATACTATATTAATTTTGTATCACATTTTAATTTTGGTTATAATCTTAAAAATATAATATATATCCTTTTGTTTTGTGCATATAATGAAATGGAAAAAAAGATGTGTCACTTTCTCGGATGACTGTTGGACGAGCCGACAGCAAAAAGGCATCGTCATCGACTTTCATTGGTAGCACGTGACGTGTTATGTTGTGTGCCTCCACGTGTACAATTCCCGCGCGTTTTTTCAACCTCCTTTGATTTGTCGTATCCATACTCCCAGTCTCTTATGGGGCGCAATGAAAGAATTGGGCTTATAGGCCCATTTATGATTCCAAATGGGCTCATTTTAGGGCATTTCATATTTTAGCTTTTTGCTTGTTCAACATTTTTTTTGTCCCCGGGCTTTCCCCCCCCCCTTCCAATCAAACCTAAAGAACTGTGCGTAGACAACATTTTTGGTTGTGTATATATATATTCATATATTTTTTATTTATTCATTTGTTTTTTTTAAATAACATTCAATAACACTTTTTTTTATAGACCACGAGTGTTTTTAATGACATTCAATTATAAACCGACACTTTTAAGTCTTGTATATTTAGACTAATTTTCGTTCGTCTTGAGATCAGCGTACTAAAGGTAAAGAATTGTCCTAAAAGATTGCTCTATTTACAGATTCGAACCCCTTATCTCTGATTAAAAGATAAAGATGTTAAACAATCTATACCAATCTTTTATGGTTATCCAATGAGCATTTTCGTTATGTTATTTTTTTTGGAAATAGAGCAACTTTCTAGAGAGCCAAAACAGTGAAGGAGAATCTTTGTTTAATACAGTAAATATTAAGTATCAAGATAGTATTTTATGTGATTATAGTGAAGAAAAATGAAACTTGGAGAGGAGAATGTGATAAATATCTTTGGAAGGATCAAATTATTTTTCACCAGAAATCGTTACAAGAACACTGCCCTCTCCTGAAATGGTGAAACCTATACCTGTCCCTCAGTACAATCTCTCTGTCATAGAGCAGAGATATCAGCTTAGCTACAGAGTGACAATCTCCACATACTCTAAGGTTCTTTATTACACGAATTGGCTTTGGAGCTTTGGTCGAGATCAGTCCAAAACAAATCGCCAGCTTCTCACTGTGCAGATTTAGAGACTGCTCTTTCATTTCTTCCTCCTCGATGATCTGAAGAACCTCTGACTTCTCCGGCTCATAACCCGTCGATTTCAATCTATCCATGACCTTGTCTAGCTTCTCGTACACCTTTTCAGACATCGGGTGAGCGTTATCCCCGGCTAGAAACTCGTGAACCACGCCATCTACTTCAATTGAACTGCACCCCGGTTCTTTCTTCAGTCCAGTGACTCTCATGTGCTTCCTGAGCTCAGAAACTCCGTCCCATTTCCCGGATTTAGCGTATATGTTGGATAAAAGCACGTGGGCGCCATCGTTCCTAGGCTCCAGTTCGATCAAACGGGTGCAAGCCAATTCAGCAAGGCTCAGATTGCAATGAATTTTACAAGCTCCTAGAAGGGCTCCCCAGACAGAAGCATTTGGAGGAATCGGCATTGTCTCTATGAACTTTACAGCTTCTTCCAGATAACCCGAGCGACCGAGGACGTCTACCATGCAAGCGTAATGCTTGTGCTCGGGGACAATACCATAAGCTGACTCCATTTGGTCGAAAAACCTTTTGGCCTCGTCCACCATACCGGTATGGCTACAAGCGCACAGGACATTGGTGAAGGTCACACCATTTGGCTTTACATTCTCGTCTTTCATTCTGAAGAACAAATCAATGGCTTCTCGTCCACACCCGTGCATAGCCAAGCCACCGATCATGGAGCTCCAGACAAATACATCTCTCTTCTCTACAGAATTAAACACTGCCCGTGCCTTCTCCAGATCTCCGCATTTGGAATACATATGAATCAGTGCACTAACCAAGTAAAAATTTAACCTGATGCCCCGCTTTTTTATGTAAACTTCGATCCACTCACCTAAATCCATCGCCCCTATCTGGGCACAGGCTGATAAAGTACTTACCAGGGTGATTTGGTTCGGTTTTGCATTATTCTGTAGCTGCAGCTCATGAAACACTTCTAGTGCCTCCTTAGGCTTTCCATTCTGCCCGTAAGCAGAGATAAGAGCATTCCAAGCGGCAATGTCCTTAACGGGCATAGAGTCAAAAACATGTCTAGCTGCCACATAATCTTCCAATCTAGCATACCCGTCGAGCATCGTTGTCCATGTGACTATATCTTTCTCCTCCATAGTATCGAACAACCGTTTTGCATCCTCCATGTTTCCGCACTTTGCGTACATATCGAGCATGGCATTAGCCAATGTCAAGCTCACGCTAATCCCGGCCTCCTCGATATAAGAACAAACCCGCTTGCCAGACTCCAAATCTGGTATCTTGGCACAGGCCGACAAGACACCCACCATTGTCACATGGCTTGCCTTGACATTCTCCGCCTCCATCTCCCTAAACAGCTCCAATGCCTTATCTGGAGAACCCTTTTGCACAAACCCTGTGATCATCGAATTCCACGAAACCACATCCTTTCTTCGACTTGTGGAAAACACTTTACATGCTGAATCGAGGTCTCCACAGGAGAAATAACAGTGTATCAAGGAGTTTGCAACAAAAACATCATTCGCAAGCGATGACTTAATCACCATCCCGTGGAAAGCTCGACCCACAGGCAAGATCGAACCATCCGCAGCAGCTTTGATCGCGAAAGGGAAAGTGAATTTATTGGGGCGACAAGGGCTCTCTGAAACCATATCCACAAACACAGAGATGCTCTGAACAGGATCTGATCTCGAAGCATAAGCGCGGATAAGCGTGTTCCAAGAGTAAGAATTCGGGTGAGTAATTTCATCGAACACCTTGCGGGCGTAATCGAGACTCGAGAAAGGACCGAGTGCGACGGAGGCGAACAATTTGCTAGCGGAGAAGGGTTCGAAGAACAAACCCGTACGGATCATGTGGGCATGGATTTGCTTCAGGTGTGTGATGTCCGTACATCGGTCGATGAAAGACAGAGTCTGGCGGGAATGTTCGTTAATGGAGCTTGGGCGGTTCGGGTTGGAGTTGGAGAGAATGGGCTGACGTGGAAGGGAGAGAGGCTGGGCTGCGGAGAAGCTCGCCATGGGAAATTTTGTCGATCCACTCTCCCTTCCACCTAAAGACGACGATACACGAATACGATATCCATATTATATATATATTTCCCGGTAATTTTGAATTTTTGGGCCCTGTTACGCCGTCTTAACAAAAAAAAAAATCCAAGAGTTTTTGGTCTTATTTAAAACAAAACACAAAGGCAACTCCGTTGACGACATTTGTTAAGAACGTTGACCTCAGACACTTGACAAGCTTGATTTTTTTTTTTATAAACGACTACTCCCTATGGTGGATGTCATGGATAAACTTTTCAATGGCAACAAACGAAGATCCGCCATTCATCACAGCTTTCCTCGCCATTCGGGAAACCTCCTTCACCTTCTTCCTCGACGCATTATCCTTCTCCTCCATCAAACACCGAATACCATTCTCTATCTCGTTTGCCGTTACGAGCTCGCCGCCACTACTACGTGACCTGTAGTCCAGCCTCATCTCTGAGGCAAGCCCCAGTTCTTTCACCATCATAAAGGCATTAAGCTGTTGCTCGGCATACATAGGCCATGTCACAATAGGCACACCAAACCACAAGCTCTCTAGTATTGAATTCCACCCGCAGTGAGAAACGAAGCCTCCTACCGCCTTATGGGCCAATATCTCCACCTGCGGGGCAAACCCGCAAACCATTCCCCGTCCACCGATTCTTTCGAGGAATCCCTCGGGTAGAAGACGACTATCAGGGCCTTGTTGTTCTGTCCGGAGCGACCACAGAAATCTGTGTCTGCATAGCTCAAGCCCATTTGCTATTTCCTTCACTTGAGTGCTCGGCAATCTCCCCATGCTCCCAAAGCAAAGGAATACAACAGAACCCTCGGGTTGGTGATCAAGCCATTTGATCACTTCTTCACGACGGGCAAGGTCCAGATCTGGGTGGGGATGGGCATTCAAGTCGAGCACGGGGCCGACGGGATAAACCGAAGGATAGCTACCCTGTTCATGGAGAAAATGGTTCATAGAGTATGGCTCAATATCAATTGATGTGTTCACTAGAACACCCTTAGCCTTTGCAAACAGCCTGGCTAGTTTCAGGTAAGCATCATAACCATCTTCCCAAAAGAGGGCTGAAGGCAGAACTTTCGTAGGAACAGTGTTTACAAAGCCTTGTATGGACAACTCTTCTTCAGAATTCCTTTCAAAAGCCGAGGTATCTTTCCCATGTCGTTCGGACAGATACTGCATCAGGGCTAGGAACCCGGCATTGGTGGTCAAGAACACATAAGGAGGGAGACTCACCTCGTTTGCGAGGTCAACCATGGGAAGACAGAAGAAATCAAGAACTAATGCTTTGACTTTGACCTGAACTCCATCCAAAGCACGAGAAGACAAGACATCCATGATTATATTCCTCACCAGAGGTATGTTTTTCTCGACGACGGTATACACATGGGCTTCCACGGACTGTGTGACAGAAGTACGGTTATCCTCTAACTCTGGCACGTCGATGATCTGGACAAAGGGCTGAGAAGAAGCGAGCGATCTGGCATAAGGGTCCAACCGAGGTTGACCTCTTAGCCTCATCAAGAGGATGGTGATCCGAATCGTATCATCTTGATCAATCAGACGCCTCGCAAATTCAAGAATCGAAACCAGATGGCCGACAGTCGGTGTCGGAATGAAGATGAGTTCTGCATTCCTCATCTGTACAAAATAAAGCTAGATCTTTCCTCCTCAACCCCGAGCTTATATTGACGAGATGGGTCTGCAAATCAAAGAAAATCAGCCAGTTTTAGTCGAGTTTTTGTTTACCTCACGAATCAGTCAGTTTCAGTTTGGGATGTGATGATACTTGGCCGTGATCTTTTACCCAGTGACTGCTCTCCAGGAAAGAAGAGACAACTAGGAATAATTGTCCAAAAGGTCTGACCCAGCAATTTGAAGCCGAAAGTATTAGTATATACATATAGTATTTTGTAAGCCGGTTACGGTTGTTACGTTTATGCTGCATATATAAGGGATGTATTAGGTACTCTGTTATTCAATAATGAGAATTATTCTGTTTTCATTTTCTCTCTCTAGCTTCTCTCTCTATAACAGATTCACCATTGTTACGAGTTTTAGAACCATGAAGCTAATATGGTATCAGAGCAAAATTAACGCTCTCCGCTCCATTTTTCTTTCGATTTCCCTTCTTTTTACCGATTGATTCTTTGATAATCTTCGGTTTTCGTCCTGATTTTCGTGAGATAACATGGCGCAATTGCCAGAATCGTATGATAATCACTTTTACCTCAGCAATAATGATCAGACGAATCTGCTTCTCGTCTCTGATCGCTTGACAGGTCCTTGTGACTTCAATTCCTGGCATTGTTCGCTCACTATGGCGCTTGAAGGTCGGAACAAGCTTGGATACATTGACGGTACCATTCCTAAACCTCCTGATAATGATCCAACTGCTAAATTGTGGTCTCGCAACAATCTCATGGTCAGATCCTGGATTATGAACTCTGTTTCGAAAGACATTGGATCTAGCCTTTTGTATGTCAAAATTGCCAAGGATATGTGGCAAATTTTGCTGAAACGTTATCAGCAATGTCATGCACCTCGCAAATATAGTATTCGACGGAAGTTGCGAACACTGGAACAAGGAGCATTGGATGTTACAGCATATTTTACTAAGCTGATGGCTATTTGGGAGGAGTTGAAATCTCTACAAACACAGCATCTGTGTGTTTGTGGTAATTGTACTTGTCGTATCAATGAGAGGTCTCAAGAACAGGTTGAGCAGGATTTTGTTATTGATTTTTTGTTTGGTCTCAATGATTCATATGAATCTATTCGTAGCCAAATATTGCTTATGGATCCGTTTCCAGATCTGCAACGCACGTTTCATCTGTTGACACAGCATGAGCATCAGCGTTTGATCAAGCCTGTGCAATCCTCTGATAATGTTGCGTTTCATGTTTCCTCTTCAAGTGATGATACGATTGCAGCTGTTTCTACCAATAATTCATTCAGGAACAAGCAGAAACCTCTTTGCACACATTGCGGACTATATGGACATACCGTACAGAAGTGTTACAAACTTCACGGTTATCCTCCGGGCTACAAACCTCGCAGTCGGTCTCCACAGGACACGAGTACGAAATCTGGTAATCAAGGATCTCACATGCCTGTGGCTAATGTTCAGGTTGATTCAGGTGATGTCAGGCATTCTGTTACTCCTGATATTAATTCATTGACTGCCGAGCAAGCTCAGAAGCTTTGTATGATGATTGCTGACAAATTCAAAGTTCATGGACCTACTGTGTCTCCCACTGGAGCACCAGAGAGTATGCCTTCATACACTGGTAATTTCTCCCATATATCTTCTGCGATATGTACTTCAAATTTGACATTGGGTGTTTTGCATAACAATCATGCGTGGATTATTGATTCGGGCGCTTCTATACATGTCTGTTCAAATAAGTCCATGCTGGTTGATATGCAAAACATTCCTGCGACCTTGGTCACTCTGCCTAATGGCCAAAATGTCACTGTTCGTATTGCGGGAACAGTTCATCTTACTCAGGATATCATTCTTTCTGATGTTCTGTATGTCCCTTCTTTTTCTTTCAATCTGGTAAGTGTCTCTTCCTTACTCAGAAATCCGAGTCTCTCACTTATTTTCGATTCTACTTCTTGTCAAATACAGGACCATTCTCGGGGTTGGATGATTGGGAAGGCTAATCTCCAGCATAATCTTTACATTTTCGACTCTACATTTGTTTCTGTACCTACTTTTTCTTGTAACTCTGTTGTCAATGATTCCACTCTTTGGCATCAGAGGTTAGGCCACCCATCTATTGCTCGTATTAAAGATCTTTCTTCTGTTCTGAACTTGGCTAAATGTACTGATTTACAACATTGTAGAGTTTGTCATTTGGCTAAGCAAAGACGTTTGCCTTTTCATTCTAATAATAATCTTTCTTCTACACCATTCGAACTCCTTCATCTTGATATTTGGGGGCCGTTTTCTGTTCTTTCTGTTGAGGGGTACAGATTTTTCTTCACTATCGTTGATGACTGTTCTCGTGTAACATGGGTGTACATGTTACGACATAAGAGTGATGTTTTGACTATTTTTCCAGAGTTTGTATCCTTGGTTGAATGTCAATTTGCGGTACGTATCAAAGGGATACGGTCTGATAATGCCTCGGAGTTACAGTTTTCTGATTTTTGCAAGCAGAAGGGTATTCAACATTTCTTTGCTTGTGCTTATACTCCACAACAAAACTCCGTTGTAGAGCGCAAGCACCAGCATATTTTGAATGTGGCACGGGCTCTTTTGTTTCAGTCTCGTGTTCCTTTGCAATATTGGTCAGATTGCATAAAGACTGCTGTCTATTTGATTAATAGAGTTCCCACTCCTTTGTTGCAGAATAAGAGCCCTTATGAAGTTCTTAAGAAGCGACCTCCTACTTATGATCATCTGAGAATTTTCGGCTGTTTGTGTTACAGTTCTACACATAATCATGAGAGGAACAAATTCTCTCCAAGGTCGAGGTCAGCTGTGTTTCTTGGATATCCTGATGGCTTTAAAGGCTATAAGTTGCTTGATACAGAGACCAATGCTACGTTTGTGTCTAGGAATGTGGAGTTTCATGAAACCATTTTCCCTTTTGTTTCTCAGCCTACAGAATCAATTCCTGATTCTGTCACCGAGATTTTTCCTCAGACCATACTCCCTTTGCCTATCCCTGATACTGACGCTTTTGATCATCCTTCATCTGATCGTCTTGTGTCAGTTCCTTCTTCTACTCCACATTCCACATCTACTGACAGTCCTTGTGCTGAGGTTGATCACCATACTCAGACACGATCTCGTCGCCAAACAAAACCTCCATCTTATCTTCAGCAGTATCATTGTTATTCTGCTGTTACAACCACTTCTTCTTTACAACCCCTTTATCCACTCTCTTCTGTTCTTTCCTATACCAAACTCTCTCAGCCCTACAAACACTTTATTTTTCAGCTGTCCACTGATACTGAGCCAAAGTCTTTTAAAGAGGCTGTCAGTTCTGAGCATTGGCGAAAGGCCATGGATGTTGAACTTCAAGCTTTACATGGCACTGGCACCTGGTCTGTTGTTGAATTGCCTGTAGGAAAACGGGCTGTTGGCTGTAAATGGGTTTACAAGATTAAAAGGAATCCTGATGGTAGTGTTGAACGCTACAAGGCTCGGTTAGTAGCTAAGGGTTTCACACAACAAGAGGGTGTTGATTTTATTGACACGTTTTCTCCAGTTGCTAAGTTAGTAACTGTGAAACTATTTCTGGCATTGGCGGCACAGCAGCAGTGGCATCTCACTCAAATGGATGTTACTAATGCCTTCTTGCATGGTGATCTAGAGGAGGACATCTATATGTCGTTACCTCCTGGTTATTCGGTGTCTCCTGGTGAGGAGCTCCCTCGCAATGCTGTTTGCAAATTACAGAAGTCTCTCTATGGTTTGCGTCAGGCTTCTCGCCAATGGTTCCAGAAGTTCAGCTCTGTTTTATTGGAAGCAGGGTTTCGACAATCTCAGGCTGATCATTCCTTATTTGTTCGACGTACAGGTGCTAGCTTTCTTGCATTATTGGTTTATGTTGATGACATTGTTATAGCCAGTAATGACAAGGTTGCAGAGGGTGATCTGAAGTCGCTTTTGCATAAGCATTTTAAAATCAAGGATCTCGGTCCTTTGAAGTTCTTTCTTGGCCTTGAGATTGCTCGATCTTCGCAGGGGATAGTTGTCTGCCAACGGAAATATTGCTTGGATCTTTTGTCTGATGCGGGGCTTCTTGCTTGCAAGCCTGTTTCTGTTCCTATGGATCCAGCCCTCAAATTGGCTCATGATACTGGATCAGTGTTATCTGATCCTACTTCTTATCGAGCTTTGATTGGCAGGCTTCTTTATTTGACCATTACAAGACCAGACATCACGTATGCTGTTCATAAACTTAGCCAGTTTATGAGCAAGCCTACTGATGATCATTTCAAAGCAGCCCAACGCATTGTTCGGTATCTCAAGACAAATCCGGGGCAGGGTCTGTTTTACTCTGTTAATTCAGATCTTCACCTGGATGCTTTTGCGGATGCGGATTGGGCGCAATGCCAAGATTCCAGAAGGTCGGTGAGTGGTTTTTGCGTTTTCCTTGGAGATTCGCTGATTTCGTGGAAAGCAAAGAAACAGAACACCGTATCTCGTAGCAGCACTGAGGCGGAATATCGAGCACTAGCAAACACGACGTGTGAGCTTATCTGGCTGTCTCATCTCTTACAGGATCTTGGCATTACTGTATCTCGACCTGCAAACTTGTTTTGCGATAACAAGTCTGCAATTTATCTAGCTTCGAATCAAATGTTTCATGAACGCACGAAACATATTGAGCTTGATTGTCATTTGGTTCGGGATAAGCTTAAGGAAGGTTTCTTACGGATGATGCACGTTAAGAGTGGAAATCAGCTGGCTGACATTTTCACGAAAGCGTTGCATCCTACTCTGTTTCACTCCTTCCTGTCGAAGTTCAATGTCTCAAGCCTATATCTTCCTGGTCGTTGATATAGCCTTGAGAGGGGGGTATTAGTATATACATATAGTATTTTGTAAGCCGGTTACGGTTGTTACGTTTATGCTGCATATATAAGGGATGTATTAGGTACTCTGTTATTCAATAATGAGAATTATTCTGTTTTCATTTTCTCTCTCTAGCTTCTCTCTCTATAACAGATTCACCATTGTTACGAGTTTTAGAACCATGAAGCTAATAGAAAGCGAACGATTATTTAAATTGGATACCACGCAAAGAAGGAACCCACTTTTTTTTTTTTTTTGCCTTAGATTATGCCCTTTTTCTTTTTCTCCTTTTCTCCTTTCCTTTTACCAAAGGAGGCAAGAAACGAGCCTTACACGAGCGTACCTGTTGCCCCCCCCATGAAGTTTAACCATGGCGAGAGAGGGAGCTCCAACCATCCTTGAGGGCCGAAGAGATAGAATCCAACCCAAGAGGCTTCTCTCTTATGGGGCCTGGAAGAGGTGGAATGGATTTACCCATGTACTTGGCAAAGGCTTGTCGATCGTGGGCTTTAAAGGTACTCGGACGGCAAGTCTGCGTATCATTTGCAGGTTAGGTTACAACGTGTATAATTTTTCTAATTAAAAAAAATCATTTCGGATCGAATATCAAATAACCGAATTTTTTTGAAAGATAAGTGTTTTTACAATGTCAAATCAAAATCAAAAAATATAAAAAAACAACCGAAAATTCCAATACACCCTCTAGAAACAGAGTGCATTTACGTGGAACTGGTTGCAATCACAGAGACAGGTGTAAAGGGCTAAATGGGAACATCGGTGTAAGATTCAAGAGTTGTGTGTGGAATGTTTCATAAACAGAAGAAATGGAAACAAAATTTCTTCTTCTTTATTCTCTATCGAACCAATATATAATTCAGACAATGCGTAAATGTAGAACAGAATAGCACCCACCTAGGTTGAGCAGTGACCAAAATTTTTCCATGTCTTCTTATTCCCACTGTTCTTTCTTATAACAATGGCTGATATTTGATGATCCCCAGGCAGAATCAAACAGTTGGAAGATCTAATCATGTCATAGAAGACAGTTTCTGAAGAACCTGATTCCCTGTTGTCCAATCGAAAGACGACACGTCACGACCTAAGGCATGAGTATTTACGTACGTACGTACGTTTGTATGTGTGTATATATATATATATACTCGTTTCTCAGATTGGGAGATGTACCTGCAAAGCAAACGCTATGTCTGATTCATCTGCTCTCAGCGTTACTCTCTTTAGCCTATCTTCTCGTGCTTGTCCAAGTTTTAGGAGCCCCTGTGACCATTTTCATATCCAATATCACAGATATATATATATATATATATATATATATAATATAATTTATAAAACTGCAGCTTACACCTTACAACATATTTTGATTTATATTATGAATTCAACCTTTGTTAAAGGGAAGAGTTTTTTTTTTGGTTATGTAGTTACCCCACCTGGTCATTTAGCACCGTGCACATGTTAGCAAACTCCGTGATTCCAGCCGCTGGTATCGTCTCAGATTTACAGATTTCCATGTATAACTTATTCAGCTGCATGGAAGGTGTCGTTAACTTATAATTTCATATCATTTCCTCTGCTTTGTCCTTTTATCATGTTTTTTTTTCTTCTTTCTAGAATGTAAGGTCATATTCACAGAAAAATTTACCTCTCCAAGCGTTGTGTCCTTTTTGGTTCCTCGAAACGCCTTTGCAGCACAACAGATTATGATCTACATATTGCCAGCAGAAACATATGAATCCACAAATAATTTTGAATTCAATGTTTGTAATTTGTTTGCTGAAATGGGTGTATAGCTTTTCTGCCTTAGGTTTTGTTTTCCTATTATGTAGGGAAGCTTCGTTTCCATATACAAAACAATTCTATGAAAACAACCCTAGAGACTTAAATGTTCACATGACCTATGTAACGAAATGCTTTACATAGACCCTGCTACTTAGGACAAGAAGCCTAATATATCACTGGTTACTATAGGTCATAGGAAGACGGTTAGTCAATGTAACTTACTTGCTGATGCTGCGGAAGAGACTGGATCGTGTCTATGACTGGAGATCTAAACGTCTTAGACAATGCAGCAGCCATATGATTCAACTTCACCTGTAATTGCATAAAAAAGAGGAAAGCAGCTGTCCAAATAAGACCCTAGTGTATAAGTGAACCCTTGACATAATAACATTGATAAGGAAGGAAATGGGTCTTTCAAGAGACTCGTATACTCACCATTAGATTCTCTGGTGAATATAAGTCTTCTGTAAGTTCTCTAGTTTCAGCCTGTAGGATTTCCAAAGCGCTCCTGCAGACACATAGAGCCTTCCGCATGTCTCCTGACACAGCCGCGACTTTCTGGCACATTTCCAAAACTTATGAACATCTGATGGAGAACTGTAGGAGAAAAAGATCAAGATAAGGGCCTATGAATGCTTACTCTGGCACAAAGCTCCAATGCATTAGATTCAAATGCCACAAATGGAAGTTCCTGTTTAGATCAGCGTTACAGAATCAATAAGAGAACATAAGAACAACACGAAACAGCCTTTTGTCGAAAGCAAGGATCATATCCCCACATACCCAATATCTTAAAATTGCACAGAATTTATTAGCTATAATAGTTCCGATTTTCTTTTAAGCATTTTTTTCCTTTATAGCTCCTTCACTGCTGGATGCGTGGGAATTTGGAAATAAACCAACAGAAGGTTCTTGTTTCGCATTGTGGTTAAGGTTGTTTGTGTTAAACATGCTGCTGCATTTAGTTCTACCTAATGTACTGGCAAACATACCCGCCAAAGAATAAAAGAGCAAATCAAGTAGCCATTTTGTGCCTACATCACATCCAAACTAAGTTTCCCCCATGCTCAGTTAAGTAGTTACCATAAGCCTCTCCTGCATTATCCTGAGGATCTGATCTTTTGAATAGGCGCGGAAAGTGACAACCATTGGTTTACCTGCACAAGATTATGACGGAAACAACAATAGAGTGAAATCAAATCCTTATTCTTTAACAAAATTGAAGGATATTATGTGTACAAAAGAATGATATTCAACATTACAAAAAATGAGTCAGACTCTTACAGTTAAGCGACTTTAATCTTGGAAGGAAACGGTCGGCAAGGTCTATCGCATTTGCTACTCCTGGAAATCAAATACGGCGGTATATCATTGTTGGGTATGAGAAGAGGAATTGATGCAAATATGGAAGTTATAAAATGACAATGTACACACAAGGTAGTACCTATAAGTATACACCTAGAAAATGACAGTGTTGTAAGCATATAAAGGTCATGAAGGATGCCCCGATCTTTTGTGATCAAGTAATCCATCTCATCTACAATTATCAACCTGCAGAAGGAGTTTGGATCATGACACCACAAGGAATTCCAAATCACACAAAAAAAAAGATAATTGGATCAGTAAAGATCACAATCCCACATCATCTTTGAGCTGGGAGGTTGCTGCTTATGAGAAAACAAATTCTGAAGATGTTGTAGAGGTGAAAACGAGCCATTAATTTTCCTCCTTGCCTGCTTTTCACCAAGTATCTAAAAAAAACAGTGACACCAGTAAACATCTGTATGGTCCCAAATCCATGATTAAGAAGTCTACAGGTTGCAGAAGGTATACCTTGCTGAAAATATCTGTTGTGTTTGTCAGTGATGTGCAATTCACAGACAATGTATCAGGAGATGGATAACCTGCCTGATAGAATTAAAGATGGATCATCATGATTTGAATTTATAACATTAGACTCTTAAGTATTTATATAATCTGATCCGAACACGAACAATTTCCCACCTGTTTTGACCAATCATCCACCTGCTGTTTTATTTTCTCCATCGACAATGATTTCCCTGTTCCTGGGCATCCACACATGTACAAACTACCAGCCTTTTGCTGTTCTATACAACTTTTCACAAACTCGAAAACCCGTTTCTGCTCATCTTCACGGCAAACAATATTTGGTGGTGTTTTCGACACATGCAGTGCCTCTTTCACTGCTTTAAATTGAGCATCGTCTGTGGATTAAGATATAAACAGCCCATAATTAACTCTTAAGATTGTAATACAGATTCCTACATACTCTGATTCGATCATGTTTACCATTTGGGTTCCAATTTAATTTAGCATCAAAACTATCAGATGGTTTCTTTACTGCTGATGTTCCCGGACTCGCCAGGTCTCCATTGGAATCATCCTTAGCTTCCTGTGAACATACAACCAATGAGCAATGTTCTTTCTTCATTGAACAAAAAAAAATAGTATCCTAAGTTTTAAAATTTAAAAACACTCGAATTTCCTAATGCAGACAATAATTGATCAAACGCCAAAAAACGAATAAGGAACGCGACCGAACATTTAGAATCTTCGAATAACTTGTCTCGGGAAACTAACAAACCCTGATTCTACAAGTAGCAATAGAAAGTCAGCAGGA